AAAACTTCCTTTGATGTAATCTTATTATAAGAACTTAATATTTTTATAATTTTGATAACAAATTTCCTTATCTCAACTCCTCTTTCAGATGTTTAAAAACCCTGTTTAGGGGAGCTCTGGTGGCCTAGTGGCAAGAAGCTACAACTACAATCCCAGAGGTGTGTGGTTCGAATCCACCAGATGCTCTGCCGGGGAAGGAGGGGCAATCTCCTCCTGTACCAGTCAGATCTGATTTGACGGTAGACGCCCACAAAAAATAAAAAAATAAAAAAAAACAAAACCCCGTTTAAAAGGGGTTTAAGCAGCAAAATATTAGGTGAACAAAAATCATGACTAATACATCCTTTCTCAAATGGAGTAAGAATGGCATCATAGATGTTAAGGGTTGCTTTCATCTCTGAAAACAACACTTTTCCTAAATGTCCAATTTACACCCAAACTGTGCCAAAATTCCTCTTCTGAGTATTTAAAACCTGCCCTGAGAAATGGCTTAATAAAACACAGAGCTGGAGTCCTTCTGAGGCCCAGGCCCAGCTCCTTTACCTCCCAATCTCCTCTGTGACCAGCGTCAGTGTCAGCAGATGGTCAGTGTCAGGAGACCAAGGCAGCGAGTGCTGCGACCCTCCAAAAGGCAAGACTAGAGCAGAAATAGTACTAAACAGTGAGAAAAGATAGAGACAGAGTTTTGTTCTTTTTTCTTAACAAAGAAAAATCAGGAAGGACCTGTAATCAATGAGCATTGGAGGACAATGACCCAGACACCACACCAAGGAATAGCCGTGAGGGGACTTTTTAAGCAGGGAGACCTCAAAGCTGGATGCAAAGAAGTCAAAGAAGTTTCTCCCGCTAAGTGGGTGTAACTTCCTCACACACTGTCTTAAAAGCCCAGCAATTTAACAAACAACAAATCTCTAACTTCTTGGCAATGAAACAATTGTCGTGACCTTCTTTTATACTCAGGACAATTTAGAATAACGCAACAGTTGCTTGGTACAAAAAGAAGAAAAAAAATTAAAAAGAACTGCACTGGAAATTGGCTTGAAGACAGACTAAGGAAACACGATGACCAGAGTTGATCAACAGGACTTAAAGTCCAGTTGAGCCATGGCACAATGGTAGTAACACTTGGGGACTACAGGGAACAGAGATTTCCAGTTCACACCGGACCTGCTGCCCATGCTGTACCCCGTACCCCAGAGAAGTCCTCCAGGTGATGGACAAACAAGTTTAAGTGCTAGACGCAGGGCCTCAGGTCCCATTTCGGGTCACCCTGAGGGTGCTCCGAGACAGAACTGCTCAATCCATTCATGCAGAGTTCCAGTCTTCTCAGCTCTCGTCACCCCTGTGTGCTCCGAGTCTGTCACTAAGCACCTGTCTTGCCTCTCCTTCATCTGTCAACCTCAGGTAAGCGGGGGCGGGGGGAATAACCTCAGGATGATTAGCCTCCCTCTCAAAAAAACACTGTCATCAAGATGAGGAAAGGTTGTCAGACAAGTTAGGGAGTCCAGAGGGAGAAGAAACTGCTCCCTTGGTTGTGATTGCATCAGGACGTGCACTCGGGCAGACCCCTGGGAAGGTTCCCCTGGCTGTGACAGCAGTGGTATCGGGCAGAGACCCTGTCATTAGATGCGGCAGGCACCTGCAGCCTGCCGCGGCCCAGGCATCTCCCGTGGGTACCCAATTAGCGATGCCAGCGTCAGCCTCAGGCTTCAAGGCTCCTGCCACCACATTGCTTTTCCCATACTGCTTTCAATTTGCTGCTTCTCCCAAACCGTACAGATGAAGGTCAAACAATGTACACTTACAAAAGCTCAAAAACCAGACTCTGCAGTGTTGACGTTGTGTGCTGTTGAGTCAGAACCTAGCCACGGCTGACCCTCCAGCGGGTTTTCAGAGGCAGTGTTTCCCACACGCGGAGACTGCCCATCCTTCTCTCACAGAGCAGCTAGGGGATTTGAACTTTGGAATTGCAGTGCAGTTTCTACCACTAGACCACCAGTGCTGCTTGGCCTCTGCATTAGCGTTGCCAAGTTTCACAAAGAGGACGCGCGTGGGTGCCCTTGCTTTCTGCTCACTCACCCTCCAGCAGGCAGTCCCGTCTGGAAAGCCCTAGAACTCAGAGGCGTGTATCCTCTCCTCCCTTACTGCTTACCAGGGTCCTGCCTTACAATGCTCCGGTGAACACCTTCCACAGCAACCCTGGCAAAGATCTGCTTCCACAACAACAAAGTCACTTCCAACCGAGAGTGACTCCCTGAGTCCAGAGCTCAGCTAGGTCTCATAACACTGACAAGGGCTACAATCTTAACAACAGTAGACTTCGGGCTCGTCTTCCAAGATCCTCAAAGTGGATTAGAACTGCCAACCCTACAGTCAGGAGAAGAATGCTGGATCATGTGCAGCACAGTGACAAAGCGACCATGTCAAGTCTACAGTGTACCCTGCAGTGGTTATTTACAACCCCTCTGATCAAGTTCTAACCTGCACCACTCACGCAAGAGAAGAAGTGACCTGGGAAGGAGCTGGGGGCGGGGGGCCGCAGTGCACAGCATACTGTGCCAACCTACAGGCTGGCAGCTCGCAGCCACCGGCCTCCCCTGGGGAGAAAGGAAAGCCGGCCCCTCCCCTAAGATTTACAGGTTCAGATCATTGGGGGTGGAACCTACTCAAAGGAAGTACATTTTGGTTTCAATGGACCTGGAGACCCAGATGAATGACATATTAAATTAATTCATGAAAAAATCCACTTGAAAACTTATGTATCAGTTGCAGTCATAGATTTCAGTTTAATAGATTACTTTGCAGTCTTTCCTTTTATAAACTTTTTTGAAGGTAAAAAGACCAATAAAGTAAAAATTACTTTCTCTTTTTATAGATTTGGAATAATCTTCTTACTGTTGTTGTTGCTGTTATTGTTTGATGCTGTAGAGTCAGAATTGACTCATGACTGACCCTCCAACAAGCTTTCAGAGGTCACAGATTGCACAAGAAGATACCGGCCATCTTTCCTTCTCCTGCAGATGAGCTGGTGGATTTGAACCTTGAGCCTAGGGGCTGGTAGCAAGCTCCTTACCACTGGGCTACCAGAGCTCCTCTGAGATAATTTTTATCAGATTCTAAATTTTCTCCTTTTTTTTATTTTCCTTATTAAAAGTAATCATCAACCTAGGGACAGAAAGAACAGTTCTAGCAGCTGGCACCGGCTTGGGGGTTTTCAGGCACAACTCCTGAGAGCTGCGTGAGGGTCCAGCATCAGAGGCGACGGGGGAGCGAGTGTAAGCACAGCAGCCTGGACGCAGGGCCTCAGCTCCAGGAAGAAGTCCTGCAGCAACCTGGAGTCCAGGAGGCTGCCTCTGCGCCTCCAGCCTGTGTGCTGACCTCACCACAGAGCCAGCCCATCTCTCAGCCCGTATGCTGACCTCACCACACACCCTAACGTCCACATCCCTTTGTGGCGCAGACATCACCATCAATACTCAAAGGCCCCACAATTTTGAAGATGGACCCTCCAAAGCAGACATGGTTGAGGAAGCAATTTTACCAATCAGCTACCAGCAGTGTCTGCGAACAGACCTTTAACCAATCATGTAACACCACGTATGTGCTATTTACTTATCCCTGTGAAATTCCAGGGAGCACTGGAGTTCTCGGGGTGTTGCGCGGCTGAACCACAGGCTGAGCCTCTCAGTCCTAATCCCCAGCTGCTCCACGAGGGAAAGCTGAGCAATATCAAGCCTCCTGTGTGACTTACAGCCTCCAAGACCCCGTGCAGTCAGCTAAGAGCTGGTGCGAACCTACTGGCAATGAGACCAAGTGGCAAATGCCTGCAGCTGTACACCTTCAACCCCTGTAATTATGATTTCTGGCCAATTATGAATTTGGCAACTTCTAGTTCCTGCTCCAAACGTGCAAATATGTGTACTTCCTCAGGGTCCAGTGCAGCAGCCCCTTCGTCAGAGGGATCTTGACGGTGTCTGCCTTTGAGGAAATCTGATCAAGTGACCTCTGCAGAGTGTGTGTTTTCAATCAAGAGCACGTCCCTGGCCACACACTTGGAGCCTGACCCTAGTTCCAGAGCTGGTGATGTGGAGAGGAGGTGGGCCAGGACCTGCGTCAACACCATCTATGAGGAGGTGGGCCAGGGCCTATGTTAACACCATCTACGAGGAGGTGGGCTGGGCCCTGTGTGAACACCATCTACGAGGAGGTGGGCTGGGCCCTGTGTGAACACTGTCTATGAGAGGAGGTGGGTAGGCCCCTGTGTGAATACCGTCTACGAGGAGGTGGGCCAGGCCCCTATGTCAACACCGTCTATGAGAGGAGGTGGGCCGGGCCCTGTGTGAACACCGTCTACAAGGAGGTGGGCTGGGCCCTGTGTGAACACCATCTACGAGGAAGTGGGTCAGCCCCTGTGTGAACACCATCCACGAGGAAGTGGGCCGGGCCCTGTGTCAACACCATCTATGAGGAGGTGGGCCGGGCCCTG